TGTCGCAGGATACCCTCTAGGTGACAGTTTTTGATTACTTTTTGATAAATAATTCGTTCTTATTGCGAAATAGGAGCACTATTTATCAATCTGTATTAAAAGACGTGAGGAAATTCTGTCTTTTAAAGACAAAATACCCAAAAAGAAGTTTGTAAAAAAATGAATCCGCCTCAACAATATAGAACTTATCTACAACAAATGATTTATTATCTCTAGATCTAACACGTTAATGGCAAAGGTATCTCTGAGCAAAACCACAAATGAAGGAACGCTTTCTTGGAAAATTGCCCTCCACAACCATGTTCTTTCCTTTTGTAAGGGTCGGTGAATAGAATTGTGCCACTGATGCGATTTTATGGGCCTAGTTGAGACTTTCACATCACTTCACACATATATGTTGGAGAACGGGGGGGGCGCTTTGATATACACGGTGGCTCATTTAAAAATTTTCTTCCAGGGATCAAAGGCCAAGGTCCGTAGCGCCTGAGGGAGTTTACAATAATGTTCCTTTTATGCATTCTGCGACACTGCAGCTGGGCAATATTGCGCGATTGAGGACAATCTCCGGAGAAGTTTGGGAAGGTAACTAGAAGACAAATTACCCGCCAAACATGGTTCGATAGGGGTTGATTGTTTGCAGGTGTTTTTCGGACATTTTCTCCTGAATTCGAGGCTGTATTGGAGGCGGTCGTAAAACTAGAGAATCCAGACACGCCAGATGAGCGCCCATTGGCCGAGACCCAGAAGGAGTCTTTGATTTTTAAAATGCTCGATGTTTTAACGATATCGTTCAGGGACGTCGACATGGATTACGCGACGAAAGACAGTTTTCAGGTAAATTCAGCTCTCAGTCTCAGTAAACGGATTAAGGCCAGTTTACACGCTCAAGCCATCTGAACGATTTGGCTTGCGCAAGCCAGTTCTGTGCAGATGTGCTGAACGATTTGGCTTGCGCAAGCCAGATCTGTGCAGATGAACGGAACGAAAATCTGGCGTTTACACGTTCAGTTCGTTTTACACCCAAACGTGCATTGTTGCCAAGATGGAACATTTGGACGAGGAGTTCATTCTTGCAACGGCTGCAGTGTGTGTAACCAAAAAAAAGATGAGCTTAAAAACTAAAATGAAATGGTGTAAACCATGGTTGTTGAACAGGAATTTATTGTCTCATACTAATTTACCCAATCACAAATCTGCTGTTTCTCATAAGCCATCGTTTTGCACAGAATATGAGATAGGGCTTCACACAAATTTAATTTAATTTAACACTGAAGTGTGAGCACTTGTGTCTAAAGACAGACTAAAATTTTAGCAGAAAGTAGGTAAAATCTTGGGCATCGGTATATCCCAATT